TCTCACCCTGGAATTCTCCTGTATTTGTAATACAGAAAAAATCAGGCAAATGGCGTATGTTAATGGACTTAAGAGCCGTAAATGCTGTAATTCAACCCATGGGGCCTCTTCAACCCGGATTGCCCTCTCCGGCCATGATCCCAAAAGACTGGCCTTTAATTATAATTGATCTTAAGGATTGCTTTTTTACCATTCCTCTGGCAGAGCAAGATTGTGAAAAATTTGCCTTTACTATACCAGCCATAAATAATAAAGAACCAGCCACCAGGTTCCAGTGGAAAGTACTACCTCAGGGAATGCTTAATAGTCCAACTATTTGTCAAACTTTCGTAGGTCAAGTCCTTCAACCAGTTAGAGACAAATTTTCAGATTGTTATATCATTCACTATATTGATGATATTTTATGTGCTGCAGAAACAAGAGAAAAATTAATTGACTGTTACACATTTCTGCAAGCAGAGGTTGCCAACGCAGGACTAACAATAGCATCGGATAAGATCCAAACCTCTGCTCCTTTTCATTATTTAGGGATGCAGATAGAAAGTAGAAAAATTAAGCCACAAAAAATAGAAATAAGAAAAGATACTTTAAAAACTTTAAATGACTTTCAAAAATTGTTAGGCGATATTAATTGGATTCGGCCAACTCTAGGCATTCCTACTTATGCCATGTCAAATTTGTTCTCTATCCTAAGAGGAGATCCAGACTTAAATAGTAAAAGAATATTAACCCCAGAGGCAACAAAAGAAATTAAATTAGTGGAAGAAAAAATTCAGTCAGCGCAAATAAATAGGATAGATCCTTTAGCCCCACTCCAACTTTTGATTTTTGCTACTACACATTCTCCAACAGGCATCATTATTCAAAACACTGATCTTGTGGAGTGGTCATTTCTTTCTCACAGTACAATTAAGACTTTTACATTGTACTTGGATCAAATAGCTACATTAATTGGTCAGGCAAGATTACGGATAATAAAATTGTGTGGTAATGACCCAGACAAAATAGTTGTTCCTTTAACCAAGGAACAAGTTAGGCAAGCCTTTATCAATTCTGGTGCATGGCAGATTGGCCTTGCTAATTTTGTGGGAGTTATTGATAATCATTACCCAAAAACAAAAATCTTCCAGTTTTTAAAATTGACTACTTGGATTTTACCTAAAATCACCAGACATGAGCCTTTAGAAAATGCTCTGACAGTATTTACTGATGGTTCCAGCAATGGAAAAGCGGCTTACACAGGACCAAAAGAGCGAGTAATCAAAACTCAGTATCAATCAGCTCAAAGAGCAGAGTTGGTTGCAGTCATTACAGTGTTACAAGATTTTAATCAACCTGTTAATATTATATCAGATTCTGCATATGTAGTACAGGCTACAAGGGATGTTGAGACAGCTCTAATTAAATATAGCATGGATGATCAGTTAAACCAGTTGTTTAATTTATTACAACAAACTGTAAGAAAAAGAAATTTCCCATTTTATATTACTCATATTCGAGCACACACTAATTTGCCAGGACCTTTAACTATAGCAAATGAACAAGCTGACTTACTGGTATCCTCTGCATTCATAAAAGCACAAGAACTTCATGCTTTGACTCATGTAAATGCAGCAGGGTTAAAAAACAAATTTGATGTCACATGGAAACAGGCAAAAGATATTGTACAACATTGCACCCAGTGTCAAGTACTACACCTGCCCACTCAAGAGGCAGGAGTGAATCCCAGAGGTCTGTGTCCTAATGCATTATGGCAAATGGATGTTACCCATGTACCTTCATTTGGAAAATTATCATATGTTCATGTAACAGTTGATACTTATTCACATTTCATATGGGCAACATGCCAGACAGGAGAAAGTACTTCCCATGTTAAAAAACATTTATTATCTTGTTTTGCTGTAATGGGAGTTCCAGAAAAAATTAAAACTGACAATGGACCAGGTTATTGTAGTAAAGCTTTCCAAAAATTCTTAAATCAGTGGAATATTACACATACAACAGGAATTCCTTATAATTCCCAAGGACAGGCCATAGTTGAAAGAACTAATAGAACACTCAAAACTCAGTTAGTTAAACAAAAAAAAGGGGGAGACAGTAAGGAGTATACCACTCCTCAGATGCAGCTTAATCTAGCACTCTATACTTTAAATTTTTTAAACATTTATAGAAATCAGACTACTACTTCTGCAGAACAACATCTTACTGGTAAAAAGAACAGTCCACATGAAGGAAAACTGATTTGGTGGAAAGACAACAAAAATAAGACATGGGAAATAGGGAAGGTGATAACCTGGGGAAGAGGTTTTGCTTGTGTTTCACCAGGAGAAAATCAGCTTCCTGTTTGGATACCCACTAAACATTTGAAGTTCTACAATGAACCCATTGGAGATGCAAAGAAAAGCGCCTCCACGGAGACGGAAACACCGCAATCGAGCACCATTGACTAACGAACAAGCCTTCATCACCATGGCACATTTATATAGAGGAAAAGGGAGGGAGAACGTTGCGGGAAGTCAGGGACCTTGAATGCAGGGACTGGCTGAAGCCACGGCAGAAAAACATAAAATGTAAAGATTTCATGGACATTTATTAGTTCTCCAAAATTAATACTTTTGTAATTTCTTATGTCTGTCTTTACTTTAATCTTTTAATTCCATCATCTTCTTTGTAAACTGAGGAGGATATATGTCACCTCCGGACCCTGTGATGATTGCCTTAACTGCACAAATTGTTTGTGGAGCATGTGTGTTTGAACAATATGAAATCTGGGCATCTTGGAAAAAGAATAAGATAACAGCAATGTTCAGGGAACAAGGGAGGCAACCTTGAACTGGCCGCCGGTGAGCCGGACGGAACAGAGCCATATTTCTTCTCTTTTCATTATGCAAATAGGAGAAATATCGCTGAATTCTTTTTCTCAGCAAGGAACACCCCTGAGAAAGAGAATGCGCTCTGAGGGTAGGCCTATAAACGACCCCCTTGGAGGCGTGCCGCCTTTTACGGTTGAAGCCGAAGGGATGAAATAAGCCCCGGCCTCCTGTAGCGCTCCCAGGCTTATTAGGACGAGGAAATTCCCACCTAATAAATTTTGGTCAGACAGGTTGTCTGCTCTCAAACCCTGTTTTCTGATAAGATGTTATCCATGACTATGCATGCCCAAAAATTTTAATTTTAACACCATCCTGTGATCTCATCCTGCCTCCACTTGCTTTGTGATATTCTGTTACTTTGTGAAGTATGTAATCTCGGTGTCATGATGACAATGGTGGTTTTGTTGAAAAGAAAAGGGGGAAATGTGGGGAAAAGAGAGATCAGCCTGTTACTGTGTCTATATAGAAAGAAGTAGACGTAAGAGACTCCATTTTGTTCTGTATTTGAGATGCTGTTAATCTGTGACCCTACCCCCAACCTTGTCCTTGCAAGAGACATGTGCTGTGGTTTAATGGATTTTGGGCGTGCAGGGTGTGACTTTGTTCCTAGAAAAGCTAGGTATTGTCCAAGGTTTATCCCCATGTGATAGGATGAAACAATGTTGCTAAAAGGTTTATCTCAAGGCACAGGATTTACCTTTAAACTTATTCATGTCACAGATCCTTGTTCTTATGTCTTACTGCTAATTTCCTCCCTAAAAATGATCCTATTGTCCTGCCACTCCCTTATCCTTAAGATGGTAAAGATAATTATCTATAAATACTAAGGGAACTCAGAGGCCGTGCCGGCGTGGGTCTCTGTAAGCTGAGCGCCGGTCCCCTGGGCCCCCGCTTTTCTTTCTCTATACTTTGTCTCTGTGTCTTATTTCTTTTCTCAAGTCTCTCGTTCCACCTAACGAGAAACACCCACAGGTGTGGAGGGGCAGGCCACCCCTTCACCATCTGGCAGAAAGAGCCCACAGAAAGGCTCTGAAGCTTCCTATCTGTTGGGCACTGGCAGCAGGCCAGACCTGGGGTGCATGAGGACTCACACCACCTTGCTGTGAAGCCAGTCTCATCACACCCGTTTAAGGAGAAGGGAAAACCGGGGCCAGGAGGGCCAGGAGGGCAAGGTAGCTGGCTAGAGGATATAGATGCTGAGACTGAGGCCTAGCCTGAACTTATGGAACGGAAAGGTGGAGCTAGGACTATAGTCTTCCTCTTCAGCCTCTGCTATGTTTCCTTACAGGCAGAAAAATATTAATAATTCTTTATAACTTGAATAAAGTTTTCTCAGCCATCCACACAGCTGCTGGGTCCACGGCTGTGAAAACACAGCTCTATAACCTCTGTTCAAATTCCCAGAGACAAAACATTTAAAATCCCCCCTCCCTTTCTCTTGGATGGAAGAAGATACCCTGGCGAGTAGTAAACCACTCCCTAATCCCCAGGTTTCTAAAGCTTGGGCAGGGGTGGGGTATGGCTGATGGAAGCACAGGCTCTGGATCTCAATCCTAGACGTGGCAGTCCCAGCAGGTGACCTAACCTCCCAGGGCTCGCTTCACTGAACCTGAAAACAGGCAAAATCCAAATCTCAACCACACAGAGATGCAGAGGGATTCAGTGATACACAGCATAGAGCTTGGCATGATGTTTGACTCCAGCAAGGGCCCGGCAGCCAGCATCCTAACCATGGCTCCCTGTGTGACTGCCGGTAAGCCGGTGTCCTCATCTGCAGAACAGGGATGATGGTATGTGGACCTCCCGGGGCTACTGAGAGGATGAGACAGGGCAGTGGAAGCCACACACAGAGTAACACACATAGCACAGAGCCAGGCACTCAGCGCCTGTAAAGGTGAGCTAGCTTCGGGAAATAAGGTTCGGTTTCTATAAGCATCTCATTTGGTTGCTTCTTTAAAAAAAAAAAAAAAAAATGAGGAAACAAACACATTGTGAAAGGATATTGCCAGCTCTTTAGGGACAAGGAAGACACTGCCCCGAAGGTTTCAACTCCAGGTTCCCTGATGACCCTCTTTGGAATGGTGTCCCCAACCTGCTTGGCTGCCACCCAGCCCAGTCCCCTCTCACCTGCCCGGAAGGCCAGCCCCACTGTGGCTGGGGCCTGTGGCCGTGCTGTTTGACTGGTGAAGCCACACTCGCCCAGGGTCTTGCCATCATCCAAGAGTTGGTCATCCTGAGGAGAGAAGCAGGATCTTGGGAGAGGCCCCATGTGGGGCAAGTCCCAAAGACCTCTGACCAGCAACTACACAGGAAGTCAGAGGAGGAAGAGAGTTCCCTCAGTGTGGCCCAGGACCACCGCTCTGCTTGTCAAATACACAGATTCCAGGGTTATATCCAAGAACTTCTAAGTCAGAACCTCCCAGGGTAGGGTTTAGAATCTGGTTTTATCCAAATTCTCCAGGCAAATCTAATTTGAGGAGCCAAGCTAATCTGGAGATAGGCAGACCTGGGTTTCAATCCCAGCTCTGCCACCTTGGACAAGTCATTCGAACGTTTTTTTATTTTAGAGACAGGGTCTCGCTATGTTGCCCAGGTGTGTAGTGGCACAGACCCTACATAAGCGCTATCATAGCACCCTCCAGCTTGGAACTCCTGGGCTCAAGCAATTCTGCCTCACCCTTCAGAGTAGCTGGGACTACAGGACCATGCCACCGCTGCTGGCTAGTAGTTGAGCCTTTTGATGCAAAGTTTCCTCATCTGTAAACTAGGAATTACCAGACTTTCAATTCACAGGGCCACCAGAGGGTTTCAATGAGCTAGGAAGGAACATAAAGCACTAAGTAGATATGTGGCACATGGGACATGCACAGGCACGGCCATTTAATATTCGCTAAGTGCCAGCAGTTATCAGTGAGGAAAACCCTTTAGAGACCATGAGAGCTGAGGCTTTGAGCCTGGAGCTAAAAGTCAGTTGCCCAGTTTCCAGCTCTAGAATCTGATCAATGCACTTAGGCGACAACCTCACAATGTTGGGACACGTAAACCGGAGGCTGATGCATCTGATTCCCCAATGCAGACCCCAAACCCCAAGCCATTCTAACTGAATAATCTCAGTTCGCTTACAAGGGGAAAGGGGGTCTTCTAGAACATCAGCAGGAAGTAGGGAGGTAACAACGGTTGCTTGGTGAAGAACGAGTGGGACCAGACTTTCTTTGCATTAACTGAGTCCGCCACCCTCCACCCCAAGGAGTGTCCCGGGGGACAGCGTGATTCCGATGGGCCTGCGAAGAAAGCTGGGAATTAAGGGGTCGTGGTTCGAACCCTGGCGCTGCCAATGACCTTTGGCTGGTTAAGAGACCAAGCCGAACCTCAATTTCGTCAACTGCACGGCGCGGGCGATACCGTTGCAGGGGTTGGATGCCACGGTGCCCTCGGCGCCCGGGGCCCAGCACGAGGTCTAAACATCGCCCCTGGACCAGAGATCCCCGCGGCGAGCGCAGCTCGCGCTTCACCCGCACAACGGATGTCCCAGCCCGCAGCTCGGGCGCCCGCAGGCGTCGCCGGCCGCCACTGTTTACATCGCAGACAGCGTCGGCGTCAGCCCCGTGCCCGTCGCCGGGTACCCGCTCCCCTCGGCCCGCCCGCGGGACCCACCTTGTACAGCCGCTGCTCGTCAGGAGGCCGCTTGAGGATGCCCTCGACGATGCGCTTCAGCTCGAACACCGTGCTGGACTCCTTGGCGTCCGTGAAGATGGTGGTCTTGTGGCGCCGGATCATAAGGAACACGTCCTGGGGGCGGCGGGCCGGCGTGAGCAAGAGGCCCGGGCCCCCCGCGCGGCCCAGCCGCCCCCCGCCGCCCCCGGCCCGGCCCGGCCGCCCCTCCCCCACGCCCGCTCACCATCGCGGCGGCTGCCTCTCCCCTCGACGCGCCGGCGCGGCCGCGCTCCGCCCCGTTCCCGGCAGCCCGCGCGTGGCCCGGCATGCCCCGCGCCGCCCCGCCTTCCCCGGCGCTGCCCCGCCCCGTGTCACCCCGCAGCCGCCGCCATTTTAAGTGATCTGGAAGCGGGCGGTGCCGACGGGCGTGCGGACGCCATCTCCACCCCAGGGATGGCCGTCGGAGGCGGTGGCGCCCTCTCGGGAGTGGCAGAGGCGAGGTCCCCGTGTTAGTGCGGTTCGGCAGGCTCCAGGCTCGGGCACAGCGAGCCCGGGGCCGCGTTGTCGCGGGATAGTCGTGACCGCCATCTTGGGCAGGCTCCGCATTTTGGGCTTTCTGGCCGCCGTGTTGGGGACAGTCGCCCCCGCTCCCTGTCCCGACCTGGATGCGAGGACTGTCGCGGCTCAGAGGGGCTTATGACCTGTGAGGAGCCCTGGGGGCTGCTGTTGGTCTTAGGGGTGGCCCGGGCGAACTCCTTGGGCTAGGAGGCACGGGAGCGGTTGGCTACTGCTTTCCCCAGGAGGAGGGAAGGGGCAGCTCCTTGCCCCAGGGGTCCTGGGCGCCTGTCCGCCTTCCCGCTTGGCTGCATTTTGGCTCTGAAAAGGCCTAGAGACTTGATTTTCCTGGCTGGCCGCTCTTTCCACCAAGGCCCCCTTTCCTGAATGGTGGACACTATCCTGCATCGCCCCAAGTTGCATTTACATGAGACCGAGGGTCCCCCACTTGACCTCTCCCTTCCAGAGAGACACCCCAGGCTGGGTCGTGCTGGGCGGGTGTCGGAGGCGGCGTTCGAGAGAGGAGCCAGAGAGTGACCCTGGACGCCAAACCGCCCTGCAGTCCGAGCTGCGCTTTGACGGCTGTTGAGAGTGGGCGGAACGTGGGGGGTGCCGCTGCGTAGAATCTCGGCAAGTCTTAGAGCTGCATTTGTGTTTTCTAAGCTGTAATTCTAGTTATTGTTACTTTTGACTTGTGTCCCTTCCCTCCTGTGACTTACTTCACTGCAGCCCCTACCCCTGCTCCCAGGGTCCTCAGCATCCCAGTCCCTGCAGAACCTGTCTTGCTCCATGACTTGTGTCGTGAGGCATTGGACAGGTAATTGTTGGGAAGAGCTCTTGGCCAGGCTAAAAAGATTTATTTTGGCTGGGCGCAGTGGCTCATGCCTGTAATCCAGCTCTTTGGGAGGCCGAGGCGGGTGGATCACGAGGTCAGGAGATCGAGACCATCCTGGCTAACACGGTGAAACCCCGTCTCTACTAAAAATACAAAAAATTAGCCGGGCGTGATGGCGGGCGCCTGTAGTCCCAGCTACTCGGGAGGCTGAGGCTGGAGAATGGCTTGAACCCGAGAGGCGGAGCTTGCAGTGAGCTGAGATTGCGCCACTGCACTCCAGCCTGGGCGATGGAGCGAGACTCCGTCTCAAAAAAAAAAAAAAAAAAAAAAAAAAAGATGTATTTCTTAGTCCCAGTGTCTGGCTGGGCGTGGTGGCTCACGCCCGTAATCCCAGCACTTTGGGAAGCTGAAGGAGGTGGATCACTTGAGCCCAGAAGTTCAAGACCAGCTTGGCCAACAAGGTGAAACCCCATCTGCACTAAAATACAAACACAATTAGGTGGGTATGGTGGCGCACGCCTGTGGTCCCAGCTACTCGGGAGGCTGAGGCAGGAGGGTTGCTTGAACCCGGAGGCGCAGGTTGCAGTGAGCTGAGATCGCGCCACTGCACACCAGCCTGGCCACAGAGTGAGATGCTGTCTCCAGTTAATCCCAGTGTCTTTATGTACATAGAACTGGCAACTTTAAATCCTGTACCTCTGTGGAGGGAGAGTGAAGGAAGGGTGTGGACAGTGGGGGCCAGGAAGTTCTCAGGTAGCGCAGCAGCCCACCCAGAAGTCAAAGGGTGTAGGTACAGGAGGGGCCATCTCCACAGGGAGATGCCTGGATCCCTACTCCATCCAGGCCTTATCGGCAGAGACCAGGGGTGGACACCTTACCTGTGGGGGCCGTCACAGCTGATGCCCCAGCTCAGGATGTCCACCAGAAACCAGGGGTGCCTTGGAGTCACCATCCTCTTAAGGATGGTGCCTGTCCTCCAGAGAGCAGAACACTAGGTTCAAACTCCAGCTCCTACTGGCAAAGCCCAGGGCCTCCACCTGGTTGTTCCCATCCGTGAAGTGGGGATACACAGTGTGGAGCCCTTAGGACGTTGGGGAGTGTGCCTGTACTCGCGGCGCATCAGCTCATAAGTATAACAACAATTGCATTCATTCGCTGATCCTCAGTGAGCAGTGGCACAGTTCCCCAGCTGGCGCGGTGAATGAGGTCTGTCTGCTGTCAGAGATCACCTGGACCCAGCATGAGTCCTTGCCCCCAGAGGGGGTCTCCGCACACCCCACGACGCTGTCCTCCCTGTCTGCTAACTACATGAAGAGATGGCAGGCCGTCGTGTCATTCAGTGCAGTGTTACCTCCTGCGGTGGGAATGGGGTCAGGAGGGATTTTCCGGGAGCAGAGCCACTCACTGGCCTAGCCTGGGGTCTCCACTTTTGGAAGTGTGGTCTTGTGGAGTCCAGGTTCTCCTTCCTTAAGGGCCTTTACAAGGAATGGGAGCGTCCAGTGGTGGAGAGGAGCTGGCTGGCTGCGCCTACTGCTCCACACAGGAGTGTCCTAGGCCCCTTTCCTCAACTGGCCTTCACCTCTTCGCCTCACAGACTTCACTCTGAGAATCCGCCTTGCAGCCTGTCTTCTGCTCCCTCCCATCTACCTTTTGTTTTTTTTTTGAGACGGAGTCTTGCCCTGTCACCCAGGCTGGAGTGCAGTGGTGTGATCGTGGCTCACTGCAGTCCCCGCCTCCCGGATTCTCCTGCCTCAGCATCCTGAGTAGCTGGGATTACAGGCATGCACCACCATGCCCGGCTAATTTTTTTGTATATTTTGTAGTGACGGGGTTTCACCATGTTGACTAGTCTCAAACCCCTGAGCTTGTGATCCTCCTGCCTCAGCCTCCCAAAATGCTGGGATTACAGGCGTGAGCCACCATGCCCAGCGTCCGTCTGCCTTCTATCTCCTTCACTCCCCACCGCAGACAGGGTGTTGTGTTATGATGGGGAAGGCCCTTGTGTCTTTCAGGTGTGTTAGACCAGGGAAACAATCTGTCTTCTTTCACGTGCCCCAAAGCAGGACTCGAATCTTCCCTGGGTCTTTCTGATTGGGAGTCTTTTTTTGTTTGTTTTTGTTTTTGTTTTTGAGACGGAGTCTCGCTCTGTCACCCAGGCTGGAGTGCAGTGGCCGGATCTCAGCTCACTGCAAGCTCCGCCTCCCGGGTTCACGCCATTCTCCTGCCTCAGCCTCCCGAGTAGCTGGGACTACAGGCGCCCGCCACCTCGCCCGGCTAGTTTTTTGTATTTTTTAGTAGAGACGGGGTTTCACCGTGTTAACCAGGATGGTCTCGATCTCCCGACCTCGTGATCCGCCCGTCTCGGCCTCCCAAAGTGCTGGGATTACAGGCTTGAGCCACCGCGCCGGGCCCTGATTGGGAGTCTTAAGACTCTCCCCAGAGAGGGCCCCGCCCTATTCCCTGGGAAAGGAATGCTGACAAAACCCTACAGGACAGAGTTTGGAGCGTTTCTCCATAGCTCAACTCGTGTGGTCCCCAGAGGGTGACACCACAGGGATGAATGGGAGCTCCGGGCCCCTCCCCAGCACCTCAACCTGCACTTTGCTTCATCTCGATGCTTTGTAACATTCTTTATGATAAACCAGTGAATGTTTTTCCCTGAGTTCTCTGAGTCGCTCTAACAAATTAATTGAACCCAAAGAGGAGAGTCATGGGAACGCCAACCTGAAGCCAGTCAGTCGAAAGTTCCGGAGCCCAAACTTGCAGCTGGGGAATGGGGAGGCAGTCCTGTGAGCCCCAACCTGTGGGACCTGAGGCTGGCGCTGGGCAGATAGTGTTGGAATTGAATTGAGGACACCCTGCTGGTGTCCAGTGCTTAGTGTGTGTGGGGGGAACCCCACAACTGTTTGTCACAGGAGTCTTCTGTGTTGATAATTGTGGTTTTGGTATGAGAGTGTTGGGGACCTCTGCTTACCAGGGCTCTAGTTTAATAAAACAACTAGAGTGATCCATCTTAAAATGTGTAGCTAAGCACTCACAAGGCATCTATAAGGCTCCTGCTGTCTGAAAATAGCCACATTCTTTTTGTTTTTGAGACAGGGTCTCCCTCTGTCACCCAGACTGCAGTGCAGTAACCTGATATTGGCTGAAATAATCCTCACACCTCAGCCCCTGGAGTAGCTGGGACTACAGGCATGCACCACCACATCCGGCTAATTTTTGCAGTTTTTGTAGAGATGGGGTTTTGCCATGTTGCCCAGTCTGGTGTCAAACTGAGCTCAAGCAATCCTCATGCCTCAGCCTCCCAAAGTGCTGGGACTACAGGCGGGAACCACCACATCCGGCCTAAAATGATCACCTCTTAAGCTGGCCGCCAATTATGATTACGAAATGTTTATGGCCGTACAGGACATCTCCCACAAGGCCCTAGAATGTGCACATGTCCTGAGAATGCAACCCGCTCTGCTAAGATAGCGTCAGTAAGCAGGCTAAGGCAGAGGATGCACAGTCACCGATGGCACCAAAAGCCCTGACCTTCGGTGAGCACATCTGCACCTTCCAGGTTTATTTACCACTGCTTGTAGTTTCTCTCTTTTTTTTTTTTTTTTTTTTTTTGAGACAAAGTCTCACTCTGTTGCCCAGGCTGGAGTGCAATGGCGTGATCTCGGCTCACTGCAACCTCCGCCTCCCGAGTTCAAGTGATTCTCCTGCCTCAAGCCTCCTGAGTAGCTGGAATTACAGGTGTGTGCCACCACACCTGGCTAATTTTTATATTTTTAGTAGAAACGGGATTTTACCATGTTAGCCAGGCTGGTCTCGAACTCCTGACCTCAGGTGATCCCCTCCTCCTCGGCTTCCCAAAGTGTTGGGATTACAGGCGTGAGCCACCGTGCCTGGCCTGTAGTTTCTTATAAGCAGAGACACTAACCAAAGATGGTAAGTTCTTCCCCCTGCTCTCTGAGCACGCCTGCTCTGTGATGGAGTCCTTTCTAATCTACTTGCTTCTCTCACTGTGCTCTGTGGCTCACCTTGAATTCCTTCCCGCGTGAGATCCAAGAACCCTCTCTTGGAACCCTCTCTTGGGGTCTGGATCAGGACCTTCTTTTCTGGCAACAGGAATAGAGGAAAAACATGATTTGAGAGAGATTTTCCCTACACACAGATCTTACTCTGTAGCCCAGGCTGGAGTGCAGTGGCGTGATGGTTACAGCAGCCTTGAAATCCTGGGTTCAGGTGATCCCACCTCACCCTCCCGAGTAACTGAGACTACAGGCATGGGCTACCATGCCTGGCTAATTTAATTTTTTGTAGAGTTGGGGGTTTCACTGTATTGCCCAGGCTGGTCTCAATTTTCTGGCCTCAAGCAATCATCCTGCCTTGATCTACCAAAACACTGGGATTACAAGCATGAACCACTGTGCCTGGCCTACTTTCCTTGTTTTTGTGTTAATACGTAGTAGTTATTCATGACCACTAGTTAGCAATGTGCTTTATTTGTAGAGTGTTTTATAGGTACTTTTGTCCCCAAAAGGGATATAACATAACTGTTAGTGTGGGATTTGAGTTCAAATGTGGCTTCACTACTTACCAGCTGTGGGCCCATGGCCATGTTACCTAACCTGTCTGGACCTGTTTCCCTTCTGTGAGATGAGTGTCTCCTTCGAGGGCTTTCAGGTCTGCTGAGAGCATGTACATACCTGGCACAGTGCACACACTCAGCAGGCATAACAGTGACCGCCTTGGCCGACATCTGGACCGCTAACAGCCATGGGAGAGCAGGTGTTATCAGTTCAGATTACAGAGGGGGACACGGGCCCCATCCTGTGGCGTCAGTGGCACGGGGCTGACAAGAGCTGCCGCCCGTCTGGCACCACAGGCTGTTGTGCCAGGAGCAGGCCGGAAGGAGGGGTGTGGGGAGGCTGCCCTGTTGGGGTAGGAGGGAGTGGAGAGTGTGGAGGACCTCTGCTTTTCCCAGAATCAGACCGCCTGGGCTGCAGTCCCAGTCTACCAACCTTGCCGGCAGTGTGATTTTTGGGACTTGTTTTTCTCATCTGACAAATGGGGACAAGCCACCTCAGAGAGCCTCCTGTGGGATTCAATGAGCTGATGGAATAAAGCCCTCCCTCTACATGATGTCTGGTGAGGGCTTGACTAGGGGCCGTGATTTTTTCTCATTAATGATCCTCCCTTCCCTGCCCAGCTCCACTCCCTTCTGCCTCCTTAGCTGGGCCTGCAGGCTGGCCTGCCACAGCCATGCCCTGACGTCCTGGGCACCTGGTCCCTGATGACCCCACCAACGGTGGCCAATATGTACTGCAGTGTGGTGTGTTCTCCACCTGGGGGACAGAGCAGCCTTGAGCACCCTTCCTGCCCCACTCGGCCCGGCCTACCCGTGACCATCTAGTACAGCCCACTTCCCCGGCTCCCCAGGAGAAAAGGAGAGGGAAGCAATGGCTCAGGCCTATGCCTGGACCTAAAGGGGCTGCGCCTTGGAAGTTTACCTTCCCTTGTCTTCCTTTCTCTTCTGCCGACAGCCGCTGTCAGCTCCAGAGTAGGTTTTGAGTTTTCCAGGTTTTGTTTCTTTTCCTTCTTCAGCTGTGGAAACTGACCTCTATATATTGAAATGGGTGGTCCTGGCTCTGGAGACAAGGACATGGCAGAGAGGGGACAGGATGCCAGGTACCAGGCTGGAAGGGGACCCCAAGGGTGGGCAAGGCTGTTGGCGTCCAGATGCAGGTGTCAGTAGGGTGACCTGGGCCCCAGGCTCACTCTGGGAGTGAATGGTGGCCAGAAACAATGAGAACAGAATCTGGGCCTGCCCCAGGGCTCCTGACCCTTCCTCGGCTGAGCATCTGATGCCAGGTGCCCAGCCTCTTGGAGTACATGGGGAGGTGGCCGCGCTGGCCAGCCCACCTTTCCCGCTGGGACACCTCCATCACAGTGGAGCAAAATCTGTATTAGTTTTTATTGCTGTATAAATGTCAGCACAAATGGAGCAGCTTAAAACACACATTTATTAAGTCACAGCTTTGTAGGTCAGGAGTCCGGGTGGCTCAGCTAGGTTCTCTGCTTAGGGTCTTTTTAGGTTGAAATGAAGGGATTGGCCGGCGGGGCTCTTATCTGGAGGCTGGTGAAGAACTTCCCAGCTCCTTCAGGGTGCTGCCAGAATCCAGTGCCTTGCGGCTGTGGGTCTGAGGGTTCCGATTCCCTGCCGGCTGTCGGCAGTGGCTGCTCTCTGCTCCTAGAGGCTGCTCATGGGCTGTGGTCCCCGTGTCCTCAAAGCCAGCTATGGAGGATCTCCCTGGTGTGAAATCTCTGTCATGCTGTGAATCTGACTTTCTCCAGAAAAAGATGGGCACACAGGCCAGATGGGCAGCAGCTGGTCTGCCCACCGCTGCGTGCCTTGCACCCATCCCTGACCAGGGCCGAGAAAAGTAAATACAAGCCAGGAAGGGAGGGGGGAGTGTCACCCCCTGGGACTCATGGCAGATCCCTGGATGAGGGTTGGTGGAGTCAGATCTGGTGAGCCCCAAAGAGGAGAGGAGGCAGGAGGTGGGGGTTGGGGGTGGCTTTTAGCTTTATTAGGCATCTTGGCCTCAAGGCAGAAGAGATGTGGGGTATGGGCAGGTCCCCGGATGAACCAGGAGACTGAGGGACCCCAGCAGCTGGCCCCAGGTCAGCCTCACTGGCTAGCATTAGAAGCTTACGTGAGCCTGAATCCAGGGGCTATATGTGGCCACGTTGGTGTAGACACCTGGACGGTTGGGCAGGGCACAACCCTTGCCCCAGCTCACCACGCCCACCAGGACCCAGCTCCCAGACTGCAGGCGGGTCAGGGGTCCCCCAGAATCACCCTGCAGGAGAAAGAGGAGCCTAGGTCTCAGCCCTCCCAGGACCTCAGAACAGTTCTCAGGGTTCCAAACCCCTGGGGTGGTGCCTCTGGGTTGGGGGCCAGGACCCTGAGCCTTCGTTGGTATGTCCTGGGTCCTGGAGTTTAGGGAGGCAGGGTGCTAGGCACAGGGATGGGACTCCGGAGGCTGGGGAGGTGGGGTGCACACCTGGCAGGCATCCTTGTGGCCCTGGGGGTAGCCGGCACACAGGCTCCCAGGCAGCACAATGGGCTTTGCCAGGGGCACCTCCGCGCCCACGTGGTAGAGGCGGTCGCAGGTGGGCGAGTCCAGCAGCGGCACCCTTACTCCCTGTAGCGGCCGCCACTCTGGGAGGGGCACTGGGGGAAGAGGAGGAACCTCTGAAAGGCAGGCGTGGAGCCGGGGTCAGTGGGAGAAGCTGAGTTCTGAGAGAGAGGAGATTTGGTTCCCGAGAAGCCGCGCTGGGTCCTGGATTGGGGCAGTGAGGGACTGGGATTTCCGGTCAGTTGGAGGAGGAGATAGGGGCTCCCCGATGCCTCGGAGCCCCGCCCTCCTGCCTTACCTCCTGGGCGGAGGCTGCCCCAGCCAGTGACCTAGCATGGTGTGCCGGGCGGCGGGCGGTCGCCGGGCACGGGCAGGCAGACGGGCTGGACGCGAGCGCTCAGGGGCACCAGGCGACACAGCTGCAGCAGTGCCAGGTCACCGCGGGCCCCGTCCTCGGAGTAGTCCGGGAGCAGCAGCACCCGTCGCAAGGGCACCGAGAGCGTGCAGGGCGAGGTGGGGCCCAGGTGCAGCGCCCCCAGGCGCACGCGGTACTCAACTGGCAGTGCCCTCCTGTAAGACAGGAGCGGGAGGCTACTTCCAGCACCTGGTCCTCGACCCCCTCCAGCCCGCCTCGACCCCAACGCCTCTGCCAGGCCACGCCCGGTCCTCCTCGGGCCTTGCCTTCCTTGCACACCCCGCCTGGGCCCTCGGTGAGCGCTGACCTGGGGAAGCAGTGCGCTGCTGTCAGCACCCACTGGGGGGCGATGAGCGACCTCCCGCACACGTGCGCTCCACGATGCTGGATGCTCGCCTGCCGTGGCCACTCTCCGTCCCGTGCATCCCGGCCCCCTACGATCCCACTGGACACGCGGGGCTGCCCGCAGGCTACAAAAGGAGCAGGGGCGGTGAGGGTTGGCTGAGGACCTGGGGCCTGGGAGGCTGGTGTGTGAGGGGAAACATGGGGCCGAGGTCCAGGATGGGGCTGACTCGGGTGGACTTCGAGGCTTTCTCACTTGCAGACTTCCTTCCCTGAGTCCCAGCAGCTCCTGGAGGAGGAAGCAGGGAAGGGACCAGATTATAGATTTGGTGTCAAATAACGGGGTTGGAGGGGAGGCCAGAGATGAGGAAGGAGGGTGAAACATAACGTTGCCCTGACCTTGTGCCAGGCTTTCTTGCCGTCTGTTATCTTATTTAACCCTTCCCAGAGCACTGTGAAGGTGCAGGGGGGAAGGGAGTATGAGCATGACACCGACAAGCACATCGTGGTGTGGTGAGGTCAAGGTCAGTGGCAGAGAGGATTGAGCCCTTGGAATCAAGATTAGAAAGCCCAAGAATGCTCCAGGGAGCCCGGCCCAGGGAGCAGTGAGATGGGAGAACTGGGAGCCAAGGTGTCTGCGGCCCTTACCCCCCAGTCCGTGTCCCCACTCACCCAGCACCAGAAGGAGCAGGATCTGGAGATAGGAAGCCCCTCTCATTCTGTCTTCAGGGCTGGGCTGAGTAAAGGTGGCACTGCCCAGGGCTTGGACTCTGGTCTGGAGCCAGCAGGGAGAAGAGAGGAGCGTCCTGGCCCAGGGGCACCAATCCTCACCCCAGCCCCTTACACCCTCTGTGGTCCTTCTGTCTGTCCTCAGCTCCTGCTGGGTCCTGGACTTATCCTGGTGGCCCAGGCTGTATACTCTTCCTTCTGCCCAGGCCTCAGGTATGCAACCACCACCACCTAGATATTTGGGCATCCTTGGCCTCAACAGAAGCCCTGGAGCCTAACCCCCCTCAGTCATCCTCACTCCCTCCCTCACCCCCCTCCCCCATCCTCATCCCCCTCCCTCATCCTCACCCTCCTCCCTTATCCTCACCCCCTCCCTCATCCTTACCCCCATCCTCACCCCCTCCCTCATCCTCATCCCCCATCCTCACCCCCTCCTCCATCCTCACCCCCTCCCTCATCCTCATCCACTTCCTCATCCTCACCCCCTCCTCCTCACTCCCCTCCCCCATCCTCACCCACTCCTCACTCCCCTCCCTCATCTTCACCCCTCCCTCATCCTCACCACCTCCCCCATCCTCACCCCCACTCATCCTCACCCCTCCCTCATCTTCACCTCCTCCCCCATCCTCACCCCCACTCGTCCTCACCTCCTCCCTCATCCTCACCTGCTGGCTGCACCTGCCTGCCCCCGCAGCCCCTGGCTTGCTCTCACCCTCACAGCCTGGTGCCCTCTCCTGACGAGTTGGGGGAGGGCCTCGGGGCTTAAAGGGCCAGGAGAGAGCCAGGCTCAGCCAAGGAGTAATTAACAGGGCCAAGGCGGGGCTGTGGCTTTACCGGAGCCTCAAACAAAGATGCTTTGAGCAGAGCTTTGGAGGTGGCAGGAAAGGGCCGCTGGGTTTCTGAAAGGAAGCCTGCCTTGGGCCAAGGTGCTAGAACTGGGGGCTGGAGGAGAGCAGTGGTGCGGGTGGGTGCTGGGAGGGGCTGCAGTCAGGTGGGGAAGCTCTGCAGGATTCCAGGCAGATTCTCTGCAAACCTGACCTGGGCTCCCTGCAGAGCACACCTTGCTGGAGCTTCTGAGCTCCATTGTTCTGTCCAGAAATCCCATCTCAGACCCCAGGCCTAGCCAGACAGCTCCACCCAGAGACCCCAGCATGGCCAGCCCCCTTCCAGATCTGGGGCCTGGAGTGGCTGGAGGTGGAAAGGGACTGGTTCAAAGCTGGTGGCACTCCTTATTTGACCAGAGGCAGGGGGAGACTTGACCTTGGGGACCGGTGCACTCTGGTCTGGGGTGGCCAGGACAGAGCAAGATGCAAGGGTCTGGTCGGGCGCGGTGGCTCAAGCCTATAATCCCAGCACTTTGGGAGGCCCAGACGGGCGGATCATGAGGTCAGGAGATCGAGACCATCCTGGCTAACACGGTGGAACCCCGTCTCTACTAAAAAAAATACAAAAAACTAGCCGGGCGAGGTGGCAGCGCCTGTAGTCCCAGCTACTTGGGAGGATGAGGCAGGAGAATGACGTAAATCTGGGAGGTGGAGCTTGCAGTGAGCTGAGATTCGGCCACTGCACTCCAGCCTGGGCGACAGAGCGAGACTCCGTCTCAAAAAAAAAAAAAAAAAAAGATGGGAGGGTCAGGAGACAGGGCCTCGCCTTCTCTCAAGTCCTGTGGAGGACCAGGGCCTGGATGGTCCAGGGCCCTGTAGTTCTCTCTTGGGCTCACACACAGTGCTCGCTGCCCAGAAGTCTCTCAAATCCCTCTCTGCATAGTCAACTCCTCTTGTCCCTCAGCCTTCTGCTCTGCCACCTCCTCCTGCCTCCTTTGCAGCCCTGCCATAGTTGTACTTTTTTATTTTTCTTTCTTTTTTTTTTAAAGAGACACGGTCTTGGCCAAGCATGGTGGCTCACGCCTGTAATCCCCGCATTTTGGGAGGCTGAGATGGGTGAATCATTTGAGGTCAGGAGTTTGAGACCAGCCTGGCAACATGGTGAAACCCCGTCTCTACTAAAAATACAAAAATTAGCTGAGCGTGATGGCAGGTGCCTGTAATCTCAGCTACTCGGAAGGCTGAGGCACAAGAATTGCTTGAACCCAGAAGGTGGAAGTTGCAGTGAGCCGAGATCATGCCACTGCACTCCAGGCGACACGGTGAGACTCTGTCTCAAAAAAAAAGAGAGAGAGGCTTTCACTCTGTCACCAGGCTGGAGTGCAGTGGTACGATCTCAACTCACTGCAGCCTCCGCCTCCCGGGTTCAAGCAGTTCTCTGCTTGAATCATAAACTTATGATTACAGTCATAAGCCACTGTGCCCGGCTGGGACTGTTTTCTTAATTTCATTTTTGGATTGTTCATTGTTGGCATATAGAAACACAGCTGATTTCTGAGTGTTAATTTTGTATCCTGCAACTGCTGAATTTATTAGTTCTAATAGTTTTTTTGTGTGAAATCTTTAGAGACTGCTACAAACAAGATGTCATCTGCAAATGGAAATATTTTGCTTTTTCCTTTCTGATTTGCACGTCCTTTTTTTTTTTTTTTTTAATCTGGCTAGAAGTTTCAGTACAGTGTTGCATGGCAGTGGTAAAACTGCGCATCCTTGCCTTGTTCCTGATCTTAGAAGAAAAGCTTTCAGCTTTTCATCATTGAGTATGATTTTAGCTGTGGGCTTTACTGTATTAAGGTCCTTCCTTCCTTCCTTCCTTCCTGTCTTTTTTTGACGAGGTCTTGATTTGTTGCCCAGCCTAGAGTGCAATGGCATTATCACAGCTCACTGCAGCCTCTGTCTCCCAGGCTCCAGTGAGTCTCCTGCCTCAGCCTCTCAAGTAGCTAGGACTACAGGCATGTGCCACCATGGCCAGCTAATTTTTGTATTTTTTGTAGAGTCAGGGTTTTGCCATGTTCCCCAGGCTGGTTTAGAACTATTGGGCTCAAGTGATTGGCCTGCCTGCACCTCTCAAAGTGCTGGGATTATAGGTGTGAACCACCATGCCTGGCTTAGTTTCTTTCTATTCCTAGTTTGTTTATCATGAAAGGGTGTTGAATCTTGTCAGATGCTTTTTCTGCATCAGTTGAGATGATCATGTGATTTTTGTCCTTTGTTCTGTTAATAATGGAATATTTCATTAACATTTCTTGATTTTCATATGTTCACTCATTCTTATATCCTAAGGATAAATCCCACTTGGATATGGTATAAAATATTTTTAATGTGCCATTGAATTTGGTTTGCTAGTATTTTGTTGAGGATTTTTGCATCAATATTTTAACTTTTTTTTTTTTTAAGAGACAGGGTCTCTCTCTGTCACCCCGGCAGGAATGCAGTGGCGTGATCTCTGTATCCTGGAACTACTGGGCTCAAGCAGTCCTTCTTCCTTACCCTCCTGAGCAGTTGGGATCACAGCCACATGCCACTGTATCTGGCTATTTTTAAAATTTTTTTTAGACAAGGAGTCTTGCTGTATTGCCCTGGCTCATTTCAAACTCCTCAAGGGCTCAACTCATCTTCCCGCCTCAGCCTCCCAAACAGGTAGAATTACAGGCATGAGTCACTTCGCCCAGCTTACATCAATATTCATCAGGGACGTATTGATCTGTAGCCTGTGGCTTTTTTTTTTTTTTTTCTTTGAGATGGAGTCTTGCTCTGTCACCCAGGCTGGAGCGCAGTTGTGCGATCTCGGCTCACTGCAAGCTCCGCCTCCTGGGTTCACGCCATTCTCCTGCCTCAGCCTCCCGAGTAGCTGGGACTACAGGCGCCTGCCACCATGGCCAGTTAATTTTGGTTTTGTAGTTTTTTAGTTAGAGACAGGGTTTCACCATGTTAGCCAGGACAGTCTCAATCTTCTGACCTCGTGATCCACCCGCCTCGGTCTCCCAAAGTGCTGGGATTATAGGTGTGAGCCACCACGCCTGGCCAAGGTTTCTTTAAATGTTTGGTAGAATTTACCAGTGAAGTCATCTGGTCCTGGTATTTTTGTTGTTATTGGGACTTTTAAAAAATTACTGATTCAGTATCCTTACCAGTTGCAGATTTTCTTTTTTCTATTTTTGAGACGGAGTCTCGCTCTGTCACCCAGGCTGGAGTGCAGTAGCAAGATCTCAGCTCACTGAAACCCCCGGGTTCAAGCGATTCTCCTGCCTCTGCCTCTCAAGTAGCTGAGACTATAGGCGTGCGCCACCACGCCTGGCTAATTTTTGTATTTTTAGTAGAGACGGGGTTTCACCACGTTGGCCAGGCTGGTCTTGAACTCCTAACCTCAGGTGATCCACCTGCCTTGGCCTCCCAAAATGCTGGAATTACAGGTGTGAGCCACCGTGCCTGGTTGAGTTACAGATTTTCTATTTCTTCATGATTCAGTCCTGGTAGGTGTTTTGTGGTGAGCAGGTTTATGCAGAGTTACCCCAAAGTTCAAGGTAGTTGAGAAGCTGAAGAAAGAGGCTAACATATCCAGTTTCTTAGAAAGTAACATTTGTTTTTAAAAAAATTTTGGTATTTTTATTTTTGGAGATGGAGTCTCATTCTGCTGCCCAGGCTGGAGTACAATGGCGTGATCTTGGCTCATTGCAACCTCTGCCTCCCGGGTTCAAGTGATTCTTCTGCCTCAGCCTCCCAGGTAGCTGAGATTACAGGTGCGTGCCACCACGCCTGGCTAATTTTTGCATTTTTAGTAGAGATGGGGTTTCACCATTTGGCCAGGCTGGTCTCGAACTCGTGACCTCAAGTGATCTGCCCAACTTGGACTCCCAAAGTGCTGGGATTACAGGCATGAGCCACCTTGCCTAGCCTGGGTGTGAGTTTTAAAGAACAGCTCATGGATGATGGTGATTATGCTAATGACAACTGCTGTGACGTCTTCAGATGATATTATTGTGAAACTCACTGCTCTGACCTAGGAATTCTAGGAATTCTCAAACACCATTTCTGAGACCAAACTCAAAATAAATCTCAAGCCACTGTTATGTGCCATCATCCCTGAAAGGCATCTATGAGTCACATGAAACTTTGGTTTCTTCTGAAGTCACAAACATTGATGGTGCTGTTAATGGGAATGCTTTACGATTTTTCAAGTATTCCAGAGAGTGTGTTCCAATGTATGTATTCCAATAAGTAGAAGCTTAATGAGGTAGTTAATAATTTTTTAGAAATGTCTTTCTGTTATTTTTATATTGAGTCAAAAATATATTGGTGAAACAATTTGCAAGCAGAATGAAAGCAGATGTGGAAATATTAACATCAGATAA